CTACACTGCGGGATGACCTCACTGGTCGCCGCTGTCTATACTGCGGGATGACCTCACTGGTCGCCACTGTCACAGTTAGACACTGCGGGATGACATCACTGGTCGCCGCTGTCTACACTGCGGGATGATCTCACTGGTCGCCACTGTCTACACTGCAGGATGACCTCACTGGTCACTGCTGTCATGGGACTTGATCATCGAGGGTGTGAGTTCTATTTTAGCTGTCTGTTGTGACTGTAAGCGGATGGGTAATCTCCTTCCTCTTCCTCCCCGGTGACTGTCCTGCAGGTTCACGAAGGCCTCCTAGGGAGCTCAGTGCTGGTTTCTAACAGCACAGATCCATCTCTTGCCTGTGAGAGAAGAAGTGTGGACCTCAGGGTCTATATGCTCTGCTTCCTCCCGTTTATAATTCTCTTGGTCTTCATTCGTGAGCTGAAGAATCTCTTCATTCTTTCCTTCCTTGCCAACGTTTCCATGGCCGCCAGCCTTGTGATAATTTACCAGTATGTTGTCAGGGTAAGTGTGCTCTGAGCAACCATCTCGTTCCCATGTACGTGAAGCTTTGTTTGGTGGTGACGTGGAGAGACCTGTCCCACACATGGCACACAGACAGGCAGCCATTGTTGATTTCCCTGCAGGGGATAATGTTAATGTAGACGCTGAGAGGCCACATCTGGCCTGAATGTTCACGAGGATGCTTGTGGGTTCGCATCAGTGTTCCCAAACACCCCACCTTCCCTGTTGGCGCTCGTGTGAGATTGAGCGTTGTGCTCCTGTGTAGAGCCTCCCGTGACAGCATATTGAGTTACTGTGGGTTTTTTTACCTTTGAGTCACAACGATGGGTACGAATGTAATTCTGTAAGCCTTTTGCTTGCTTTGACATGCAGTCCACTGCCGTGGCGCACGTCTGTGACTCTTTGTTTGAAGACCATGCAGCAGTCAGAACTGAGGTCACTGTTTGAAGTCTCCGGACTCTTAACCCAGTTATGTTAGGCAGAGACCAGGGACCCCAAGATAGTCGAAGATGCTGTGTTATTTCCTCATGATCTAATCTATCAAAGATATTATTCCGAAATAATCATAAGATTTCCAAACAGTTCACAGGAACTCATACACCGGGTCCGTTTCACTTTTCCTCCGTCTGGATTCTCAAACAGGCTTGGTTGGGAAGGAGGCTTGCCTGAGCCTTACTGACATCCACATTGCGTAGCTGGACGTGTTAGACTTGGTGGGGCGGAGAAGGTGGATCCGTTAGCGGAGGGAGGGCACAGGGAAGTGGCTGACATAGCATCCTGCTCACCCTACCCTGGCTTCCCCGTCACACATCTCTTCATAGCATGGAATTCTACATGCGCCTCAACCACCAGCAGCCTCCACGTTGCCCAAATCACCCCCATGCTTTCACACTCTGGTTTGCACAGCCTCTTTCCTCGGCCATGAGTTCTACTTCAGAGAAGATTGTGGTGGGGGGGCAGACTAGGGAGTCCGGAGGAAAGGCCGTTGTGGTCAGAGGTTTGAAGCAGGTGTGCTACAGTCCTGTCTAGATTCTAGAGAGTGGAAGCATTACGTAATGAATGGTGGTGGGGTCATCCGCACGGGGAGTAGGCTGTATGTGTCATACCAGAGCACACACCAAAACCAGGAGACCTGCACAGGGGCAGTTAGGGCAGTGGTCAGGATCCAGGTGTCCTAGGAACTGATGAAGTAGGGGTGCATGGAGATTACAGCAGTGCCTGGTGACTGTGGGCTCTGGCTTCTGAGTACGCCTGCGTAGTTGTGGTGTGGAGGAGACGTAGCCCAGGGGTGGCCTGGGACCGGCCAGTGACACAAGGGCAGCCGTTGTCTCATTGGCTGTATCCTAATAGCGGAACCCTTAACGGAGGATGGAAAATGTTTACTGAGATTCATAAGCCCAGCTGCTCTGTGAAGCCCGAGAGAACACGATTTTCCTCTTTAATTTTAAATAATTTGCATTTGATAAAACTGTAACTTGGTTTCTTTTTTCTTTTTTTTCTCTTTTCTGCAGAACATGCCAGATCCCCACAATCTTCCAGTTGTGGCCGGTTGGAAGAAATACCCACTGTTTTTTGGTACTGCTGTGTTTGCTTTTGAAGGCATAGGAGTGGTGAGAATTAGCCATTACTTGTCTTTAAACTCTTAACACAAGAGTTTTTATAGTCAAACTGTATAAAAATACATGTTTTTGGGGGGCTGGGGTGGGGCTTAGTTTCTTGTATTCATAGAACATGACTCCCAGTTTGGTGGGTGAGTGAAAAAAATGAGAGAAAAGGAGGCCCCTAAGGTGTGGAGATGGGAACTGTAGATACAGGGGTGAGAACAGCAGAGGGAGGAGTCCAGGCTGAAGGGAACTGGCCAGCTAAACCAGACCCTGAGTGCAGAGGAGGGCGTGGGGGGAGCAAGGGAGTAGCCCCAGGCCTAGGCCAAGAGGCCAGCATAGCCAAATGGCTTGTGTAGGAATCAGGTTGGAGGATCCCAGCCCCTGGGAGGGAGAGGTTTCAAGTAGGGTGAGGTGAGGGGTGCTGGGAGGAGCCCCAGGAACTGAATGAGACCTGTTCTAGGTCTGAGACCTAGCAGTCAGGTAGTTTGGTTTTTCTACTGACCAGAAACTTATTCTTAGACATGTTTCTTAGGTTCTCTAAGTCTTTTCCTTGGTAGATTTGATATGATTGTGTGGAAGAGGGACCTTGGCCGGCCAAGGGGCCATGCGGCAGGTGAGAGACAGACCCCACCATGCAGCGCTTCCATGGGAGATTTATTGAGAAAGAGGGAGTGGGGGAAGGGAAGGAAGAGAGACCGAGAGTCACACACACACACACACACATACACACACACACACACAGAGAGAGAGAGAGAGAGAGAGAGAGAGAGAGAGAGAGAGAGAGAGACCTGCTTGCTTTTTCAGAAGGAAAGAGAGAGAGCCTGAATGGGCAGAACTTGTCTGTTAAAATAAAGGGACCTTTTGTGCCTGCGTGCATACTACACAGTGACACGGCAGCTGTAGGACCCTAGGCTGGCCAGGGAACTGCCTGAGTGCATCCTGTCAGGTGACAGGCATCATAATGCCTGAATCTTAACAAGTTTAAGTTACAATATTAAGCTAGATTTTTTTTTTAGCATTTTTATTGGGAAAAATTTCAAGCCTATAAAATCCTTAAAGCATTATTCTGAAAACTTTTGTAAATATAACATAACTTCAGAAAGTGGAACTCACAGACAAGTTTGTTTTGTTTGTGTCCCACATATTCTAGCATTTTTTTCTATCGTGTGTTGGGGTTGTTTGGCCTGCAAGCATGTCTGTGCACCAAGTGCATGCCCGGTTTCCGTGGAGGCCAGGAGAGGCTGCTGAGCCTTGAAATTGGAGTTACAGTTGTTTGTGACCCAGGGAGCTACTGACAGACTCAGTGTGGCATCCTGGGTGGGCTCCTGCTGCAGAGAAGGCCATCCCTGGGATAGCTCGAGAAATTGAAGCAGAATTCGGAGTTGGGTCACTCTGGTTGGCCAGTGTCGGCTCAGTGTGACAACCTGCAATATAAAGTGTTAATGGTGGGAGAGCTGCTCTGGGGGCATGTGGGAGCCATCTGCATTTCCCTCTGCATTTAAAAAACAAAACAAATCTAAAATTAATCTAGCCAGAAATGGTGTATAAAAATAATCTGCAGGTTGCCTGCTGATATCTGATCTTCAAATTTTTTTAGGAATCAAAAAAAAATAATGTAATATAAAAATCTCCTGAGTGCAGGGGCTGAGGAGGAGGGTGTGTTGGTAAGTGCTTGTTGCATAAGGATGAGCCCATCCCCCACATAAAAAGCTGGTGCAGGTGTAATGCTGGTGCTGGGACATGGAGACTGGTGGATCCCTATTGTTCGCAGGTGGACGGTTTAGCTCAACCAGGAAGCTCCAGGTTCAGTGAGATCTGTCTCAAAAAGCAAGGTGAAAGTTTGGTGTGGTGGCACATGCCTTTACTCCCGGAATGTGGGAGGCAGAGGCAGATGGATGTCTGTGAGCTTGAGGCCAGGCTGGTCTGCAGACTAGCCAAGTATACATAGTGGTCTGCAGACTAGCCGAGTATACACAGTGGTCTGCAGACTAGCCGAGTATACACAGTGGTCTGCAGACTAGCCGAGTATACACAGTGGTCTGCAGACTAGCCGAGTATACACAGTGGTCTGCAGACTAGCCAAGTATACACAGTGGTCTGCAGACTAGCCAAGTATACATAGTGGCCTGCAGACTAACCAAGTATACAAAGTGGTCTACAGATTAGCCAAGGCTACTTAGTGAGACACTCTGTAAACGGACCTAAGAGGGGGAAAACTAAGGTAGAAAACAATAGTGGAAAAACTGACATCAGCCACACACACACACACACACACACACACACACACAAGCATACATACATAGATTGTCCACACATCACAAAGAACAATAGCATGTATATGTGGAATGAAGAAAAGATTTTACACACGATACGACAAAAGATCAGTTTTTCTAGTTACCCTCACTATTCTGAAGTTTCCGTGTCCCGTTCCTCCAAAAATAGCTGTGTTCTGCATTCTCCATTTAGGTGCTTCCCCTGGAAAACCAAATGAAGGAGTCCAAACGCTTCCCGCAGGCCCTGAACATCGGCATGGCGATCGTCACAGTGCTGTACATCAGCTTGGCCACTTTAGGCTACATGTGTTTCCGTGATGACATCAAGGGCAGCATTACATTGAATCTGCCGCAGGACATGTGGTAGGTAGAGGTGACTCACCAGTCACAGTTTATGTGTTTTGTATTCACCAAGATTTGATGATTTGAGCATTGGAACTTTTTCATGATTTCATTATTTGTGGAACTAAAAATGCATTTGGCAGGCTTTAAAAATCTCAGATAGGAGACATGGGTAGAAACAGTAACAGTCTTTATTCGCAGAAGTATTTAAGGAGAATCTTACTGGAGAAGGAACCAGAGAGAAAGCATGCAGACAGATAGATGCCCCTGATTCCAGCTGAGACACGGGGAAGGACTGGGGCAGGAGTGTATGAAGGCAAGCTGTGTATATTGCCAGTTCACGCTTGGGCGTGTGACTTGTCCTTCCCTTCCCCACAGCACAGCTCTTCCCTGACGCCTGCTTGCTGTGGTTCTCAAGTCAGAACAGAGCAAGTTGGGACTTGGTGACCCAGAGACCATTCAGGCATAGTTTAGCCTCAAGAAAGCCTAGCAAGTCATCTGATTTTCAGCTGACATCAGTAGATGCAGTAGACGTCTTGAAAAGTAGGGGAGCAAGTCAGGGTAGAGAGAGATTTCCTCGAGAAAGAGTCTGCCGTAACCTCCTCACAGGACGGCTGGGTGCAGCCTGTCCTCTGGTTTGTAGTCGGCTTTGTGGACCTGGGAAGGTAATAGGAGCTAATAGTCGCCTGGCTGAGAGATACAGGGTGGTACTGTCCCTTCAAAGGTTAGAGTGTTCTGGAAAGTGAGCGTGCAGAATGGCCCTGGAATTAGGTGTTTCCTCATGTCTCCTGTGTGCAACTCAGAATGCACAGCTCTGTGGATACTTAAAGTCGAAGTGCAGAGGTTGAAAAGTTGAGAGAAACTGTTAAGTATTGTTGAAAGCACAGATGCCAGCTGTAAAAATAAATGGGCTTGGGGGCTAGAGAGATGGCTCAGAGGTTAAGAGCACTGCCTGCTCTTTCAAAGGTTCTGAGTTCAATTCCCAGCAACCACATGGTGGCTCACAACCATCTGTAATGAGATCTGGTGCCCTCTTCTGGCCTGCAGGCACACACACAGACAGAATATTGTAAACTAAATAAATAAATATTTAAAATAAATGGGCTTTAGAAACGTTTGAACACGGTCTTCGCCATATTACCCTTCCGGGGTTGGGAGACAGTCTGTGTAGTGCCTACGTCTCCAGCATGTGTGTGTGAAGAAGACATTGGAGCAGTGCTCCACTGCACACGAGATAAGAGTGCGGCACATGGATCCGTGCTGACACTAGCCAGGGTTAGCCTGTCAACTCCAGCTTTCTGTCCGTGGAATGCAACTGTATTTGTATGCAAAAATAGTGTTTTCATTTTAAACTATATTATCAGCCATACTTTGAACACATAACAGTAATTAGGAAAAAATAATGTTCCTCTTTTAAGTGAATAATGAACTAACAAGAATATTTGTTTAGTTCTCTACAACTGTTTATCAGAACGTGAAAAAACAATCATTTGGTAATTTTGCGTATTTTCAGCCACAACCATTCATAGTTATATTAAGGTCCTAACTAAATATGTCCTTGGGTAACTTTTAAGTTAAGATTTATCATTTCCAGCCCCGAGGACTTTTCTTGTTCCTAATTATGTTATTTGCCATATTTTCAAATTTACTTTTACTCAGTCCTACTTCGTCTGCTCCTAAGAGGAACACACTGTGGCAAAGCTTGTTGAATTCTCATTCGGTCAGACTAGAGAGCTGTTTACACTTCTTAAGGCGGAGGTCTTAAGATGTCAGAAATAAGCTTAAGCCCTAATTAATGACTCTGTCGAAAGTAGAGTCCTGTATATCCTTTTAGGATAATGGGATTTATTCCAGGGAGAAGCGCTTTTCCCTGTGCTTCACTCTGTCGGAGAGGCATGGCCCTGGCCGTTTCCACAGAGAGAGAACCCAGGAAGTGCTCACTGCCCCAGCTGGGGCCCAGCCCCTTAGCTCAGCCCGAGTCACGCACACCCCAGCCGTTCTAGTTCATTCTTAAAACATGCAAGTGGGTATTTCTTTAGATTATTTTAAATACAAAAATATTTTAAAAAGTCAACATGTTAAAATATTGAAATACAGTGTACTAATTTTATCATTGATAGCTCAGAGGCGTATGCTTATTGTTGCTCTGATTCTCATGAGCCCACCATTCCCTACACTTCACTGAAAACGTTGCTTTCTCTAGACAAAGGAATTTGCTAAGCTTTTCCTGAGGAGGGCTGGAGAATTGGCTCAGCAATTTAGAGAACTTGTTGCTCGTCCAGAGGACCTGGTTCAATTCCCAGTACCCAGGTGATAGCTCACAGCCATTTGTAATTCCAGTTCCAGGGGATCTGATGTCCCCTTCTGGCCTCCAAAGGCACCAGACACTCAGATGGTGCATAGACATACATGTAGGCAAAACACGTAAAATACTAAATTAATGAATTATGAAAGAGAAAACAGTGAAGGGCAGGCTCAGTTTTGGCAGGGGCCGTCACCAGGCTGTAATCTAAGGATTATCACACAGTTTGTACACACCTTAATTTCACATGGAGTCCTCCAGAGATGACCACTTAGACACAGTTTGCACAGTTTAAAGTCTTTATTGTAGCTGGCTGGGACTACAGTCAAATATTTGGGACCCAACTGTAGCCCTGAACATTTAGAGCAAGGGGCTTTTAAAGGCAGCTGCAGGAGGGAGATTTTATGTAAGCAAGCAGTTCAACAGAAGCTAAGATAAGCAGTTAGCTGGAGAGGAGGTTTGCACAAGCAGGTAGTTTAACAGAAGCTGGAGGTGAGTTAGCTGGAGTGTCTTGACCTTGCTTCCTAGAATTGAGCTGGGTGATTTTCCACGGGTTTCTCCATCAAGGCAGTCAGATTCTAGTTGAGCCTGAAATGGCCTCTGTACTGTCTTGCCCTGTCAGACTACACTGGATCCTGTTAGTCTGTGCAGCTCTCTGTGAATCACATAAAATGAGTAATTGGAGAATTCTAAAGACGCATATAAAGCTGAACACTGATGTGCACTTTTGAAGCCCTGACCTCAGAGGGATAGGTTTACATCACAAGCAGGCTGCAACCAGTCTGTTCTCTTGTCCCTGAGAATTTTAACAGGCAGCGGCGCAGCTTCGAGAACTCAGCTGGTTGCGATGATTCAGGTCTGCCTCCTGTGTTCTCTGCCAACAGAAATGTCGAGCAAAGACAGCTCAGATTGAGAGCCTAATCTGACATGTAGATCACGGGCTGTGACTCAGTATTTCAAAGAAATATAAGGATACTCAAGTTTTTAAAAGAAAGTTGAAAAATTATTGCTTTGAAAATGTCTTCGTGGGGCGGAGTGCAGCCGGAGCCCTGGCTTGGCCCTAAACACGATCTTCTGAGCACCGTGTCCCCAAGTCCCTGCTCAGCTCACCAGGCTGGTCAGAAGGAGTTGTCCGTATGAAGACTAGAAGCGGAGTTAGTGGGGGTTAGTTTTTGTTTGGCTTTGTGTTTTTTTTTTCTTCTTTGAGACAAAGTTCTTAGTCTGTAGCCGCTAGTCAGGTCTAGAAATTTCTATGTATGTAGTGCAGATGGACGTGGAACTCAGAGCAGGCCTGCACCGCCTTCCTGGCTGCTGGCACTGTCATTGGACCCCACCACATCTAGAATGTTGGCTTTTCACCTTTGCCAAGGAGGCCTCTAAACTGACTTGTGATGTTTATTTCTTGTTTGCTCCTAAAAATTAAAAAAGAGGGGGCGGGCTGGAGAGATGGCTCAGAGGTTAAGAGCACTGACTGCTCTTTCAGAGGTCCTGAGTTCAATTCCCAGCAACCACATGGTGGCTCACAACCATCTGTAATGAGATCTGGTGCCCTCTTCTGGTCTGTAGCATATATGTAGGGAAAATGCTGTATACATAATTAATAAATAAATTTAAAAAAATTAAAAAAGAGGAAAGTCAGTCACATTAAGAAAAACTAAATGTTGAATTTCTTTTTTCCAACAGGTTGTATCGGTCTGTGAAAATTCTGTATTCCTTTGGCATTTTCGTGACCTATTCAATTCAGTTCTATGTTCCAGCAGAGATCATTATCCCCGGAGTCACTGCCAGACTTCATGCCAAATGGAGGCGCATCTGTGAATTTGGGCTACGGTCCTTCTTGGTTAGTATCACCTGTAAGTATCAGTGCATACTGTCGTAATAGTTGAGTTGCATGTGTTAAAATGAGAACTGCTTAAATTATATAGTTTGCATTTTTTTTAAGACACAGGGCTATGTTTGCATTTGTGTAGATTGCAGCTTCGAACTCAGTCCTCCTACCTCAGCTTCCCAAATTCCAAGATGGCAGGTTTGCACCACCACTCCTGGCTTAGCCTTTAACCCTTAGCAAGAGTTCCACAGGAGTGAGATGGGCACTGCTCCACATACCACAGTGGGGCACCCTGGGTACTGCTCAGTGTACCACCTCAGAATGCCAGCTTTGCTCATGTGGTTAATGTGGCCTTTATTTTTCTGCTTCAAAGACAGCATCTTAGGGAGATGATTTGCAACTATATGTACATCCAGATTTCATCCAGTTATTTTTTGCTTTTTGGTACTAGAAACAAAGGCCTTGAACATGCCAGGCATGCACTGTACCCCCAAATTAATCCCCAGATCTTGTTGTTTTTGAGGTCCTTGCTATGTAGCCCTGGATTTCATGACCTTCTGTCCCGGAAACTCAGTTTCTGGGATTCAGGTTTTCACTGCCACACAACTCACCCTGCTTTGTCCACTCATTTCGCCTCCTGCATTGACTCCTCTTGCTCAGGAGCATGGCCTGGTTCTCATGGTCATCACCCTCTGGTGTGCTGTCCTGGAGAGGCTGGTGAGAGCTCTGCTGTAAGGACTGATGCTCTCTCTGCTCCCGGTTATTCATGGCGCACCGCGCTGTTTCGTATGACACCGACTCTGCTGTGTGGCGGGCAGAGGAGCTCAGTGCTCTGAATTAGATGCTCCAATTCATAGCAAAAACTTAATAGTTGTTTACATGAGAAATGTTGTTGATAAGGATGAGTCCAGGAAGTGTTTCTCTAGTTTGTCCCTCCTTAGGTCAGAAGAAATTATGTCCGTTTCCCCAGAAGCAGTAACTTCTGCTAACCACTTTCATTGTCAAAGATGATTGTCTACAGTTAGTCCCTTGTATAGTGACCATGTCAACAGAAGCCATTTTTTAATAGGTGCCGGGGCTGTTCTCATTCCTCGCCTCGACATCGTGATCTCCTTCGTTGGGGCTGTAAGCAGCAGCACGCTGGCCCTCATCCTGCCGCCGCTCGTGGAAATCCTTACATTTTCTAAGGAGCATTACAACATATGGATGATCCTGAAAAACATCGCCATAGCATTCACCGGAGTCGTCGGCTTCTTGTTGGGCACGTATGTCACTGTTGAAGAGATTATTTATCCAACTACGGTAGCTGTAGCGGGCACCTCCCAGAGTCTCTCTCTGAATGTGAACTCCACATGCGCAGCCTCTGGGCTGTGAGCCTTTGGTTGTCGTCCCATTCTAACAGCAAAGTAAGAACCAGTACAGTCACCACCATACACTTAAGCACAGTGCCAAACTCTTGTTTCAGTTGGCAGAGTATTGCAGTTGGACTGGGAACTGGCCATCTTTTGCAGCTGTGGTAAACTATGGCAGATTCTTGCTTTTATCTAATGACAATGAAAAATTTAAAATTAGCTTTGAAAAACTGAAAAAAACTAAAATCTAAAACTTAAAACAATAAGCATACCCTATTATTTGTTTCTGTAAGAAATACTTTGAATAAAAATTATTTTTCTTGCCACTATTGAGAAGATAAAGGCATTCAACGTTGTGGAAATTAAATAGGGACATAGTTAATAGGCTCTTCCTGGAGATTCCCATAATAGCAAAGTAAGCCTCCTGTGTATGTGTATGAAAATGCATCAGTTGCATTTTTATTGCATGGGTAATGCTTCTGACAGCCCCTGGAAGGACAGACGGTTCCCACTGACCGTCGTGTAGACATTAGAGAGTTCGCAGAGCCAGAATCACCTCAGTGTTAGGCTCTACAGACAGTAGGGCTCCATAGTCACTGGGAATTACTGAACAAGGTTCTGATCTGTTTGGGTTGTGGGCAAAAGGCCGCCGAGGTTTCTGGAATTCCCCTCCCTTAGTTACTGTCTTAGCTGAGGTTTCTCTTGCTCTGACACAGCACTATGACCAAAAGCAACCTAGGGACCCAAGAATGGATTTCAGTTTATAGTTCCACATCATAGCCATCGTCAGAGGAAGTCAAGGCAAGAACTCCGGGCAGGAACCTGGAGGCAGGCGCTGATGCAGAAGTTATGGGACGATACTGCTCATGGCTTGCTCAGCCTGCTTTCTTATAGCTCCCAGGACCACCAGCCCAGAGGTGGCACCACCAGCCCAGAGGTGGCGCCACCCACAGTGGACTGGGCCCTTCCAAATTGATCATCAATCCGGAGAACTATCCCACAGACTTGCCTACAGGTTAGTCTTACAGAGACATTTTCTCAGCTGAGAGTCTCTCTTCCAAATTAATTCTAGATGTGTCAAGACAGGGCGGTTACCATTGTAGGACATGGAATCTCAGAATGTCAGGTGACTTCATCAGGAGCGCTTACCCTAGTCAAGAGAACCCGATATTTGACTCCATGCAGAGATTTTTTTTTAAATCATTTTTCATGTCACAGTCAAGAAAGATGAAAAATGACAGACAGCTTAATTTAGTGTAGAGTTTATTCAATTATATTTTCATCTTTGAGAGTGTGTGCCTGATATATTTGAATGTATGTGACAGAAAAAATCCAAGAATCCTGCCTGTGGCTTTATAGACCTCACACAGGAAGAGAAGCTAACATTTCCTTAAACAGCAGGGTCAGCTGGCTAGCTGTGGAGCCTGCCAGCCACAGGAGGTGGGGTCTCCATGAACAGCAGGGTCAGCTGGCTAGCTGTGCAGTATTCTAGTTGCCCCCTTCCCCCCTGGGTTTTTGGGAATCAGGTACGTTACAAAAGTACAGGATTTTGGATCATCCTCGTTCTGTAGCAGCTCCGTACTGTAATCTCCCCCGTGATCTGAATGGGCAGAGGGACCCAAAATGCATTCTTAGGAGACTTGAAACAATTAGGAACTGTCTAGAAAATACTGAGATGCTTCAGGCTTTGTTGTGAAAAACACCTCCTTCCTTCTATCTCCAAACACACTAGCCAAGGCAAACAAGCTCATTTGACGATAAAGATGGGAATTCTGGTGTTTAAAGGAATGAGTGCTGGGTCTCCTGGACTTCTCAGCTCTTGGTTCTCCTGTGCGTTAGTCTGTTGGATGTCACCAAGTTCTGTGGAGTTTTCTATTTTTCTATGTATACGTTAACTTATTCAGGTTCAGCTTTGCTTACGTCATTACTTTGTCTTCAACTGTGAGCCTATAAATATATCAGAAGCTTTATTTTGGTATGAATTCATAAGAACCAAAACTTTAAAAACCTTTATGTTAGATATTTCTAATAGTTGTTTATGATATTTTGTGTTAAATCGTTACTCCAAGTCTCTACTTGTGCCGAGACAGTGGGTGAGGTTATGAGCTCTTGTCAGCTGCCTTCGCGCCGTACTCCGCTGTGCACGCTCAGTTTTAGTTTTGCATCTCCACCTGTTACTTGTGGAACTCACCACGTGTGATGGGCTTTTACATAATGGGTCACTGCAGGACTCTCAGGTCTGTACCCGCCCTGTGCACATCTCCTCAGCCAGGATTTCCCGCACAGTGGGCTGCTGTGCCAGCACCCATGCGGGGGTCCCCAGGTTATCAACACAAGAGAAGTCCTTGACAGAAAGGAGCGTAGGCTGACAGAAGGAGAAAGTGTTCAGTTCTATTGTGAAACACTGTTTAGATACAGACTGTAAAAGGCATACACTCTTGTTCTTTAAGGGTGCCCAAAGATATATTTATCATTTCATCATTTTTCTATAATATTTAGTTTTACATAATTTTCTAAAGATTTTTGGAGAAGATATTTTGATTCTAGCAGCTGTTTCTTTTGTTTGGGGGCCTGCAAAATGGGGAAGCAGCCACACAACGTTGAACTCATGTTTGCTACTTCCCATCACACTGGGAACTTGCCCAGAAAGCTAGTCCGTTGTGTGGGTGCCATCTCCACTGTGGGGCGGTGAGAGGAAAGCCATGAGCTAGCCTCAGCCATTCGCCACCTGCCTGTGTTTCCTGAGGCTCCAGAGAGTGTTCCCCGGCATCTGAGGGCACTCGTCAGAACACTGGTCCCACACAGCTTTTAACACATGGCCCAGTTTCTTTAAGGTTAAGAAGCGGGAGCTGGGAGAGTTTCCAGAAAGCAAACTGGCTCTTGTTGTGCCCCACTACTTCCCGTTCTGCTCTCTCTGACTTGTCACCAAAGCCCAGAGTGTCTTGTGAGATGGTCTCCTTAGAGTGTTTGTAATCCATTTATGGCGGTGCACTTGTGAACTACCCGACAGGGTTTGAGTTTTGATATGTTCCTAGTCCTAGAACATGTCAGCTTGAGTGTGTATGGGTGCCATGTCTCATGACGTCTTAACAGCTCCCCATTCCACTTCAGTCCCCACAGATGCCAGTGTGATTGCTGGAAACATACATTAGGTATTTCTTCCAGGATGGAAAAGATACAGAACAAGCCAATGGAGATAATAAATACACTTATTTATATCAACCGATGTTAACCGTAGAGCAATAAAACCATTGGCTAAAATATAATACATCAATAGTGTAAAATTATAAAATATTGGAAATGGGTTTATTTTGATCAGCTCAGCTCAGTTCTCTTCCCTTAATTAAGAAGATGTGAGAAATTTGTCTAGGAGGGTAACAGACTGCTTCCTTTCATTAAATGACTGCATGTACTTGACCACACATGATTTACTTCCTGGATCGGCTTGGTTTAGACCTAGCATATAAAAGAAATATGTCTAGGTCTAGAATTGATTGCCTAGCAAGCAAAATGACAAATCACCCAGCTGCTCAGATTTCCTGTTAGAACTGGCTACTCCCTAGGTGCATCCATGCATGTCACCCCAGAGGGACTCACAGCTGACTCCATTTCAGCTACTCTGCCACAGATTGGACCGGAATGATGATCACACGGAAAACGTGTTCGTGACATGAAAAAGTCAGGCTATAGATCTTTGTTTTTTAGTGTTAGCTGTATTGAAAGTCAAGTGTCATTGGACTTGTGTCCTTATAATTTATTCTTCTTTGTAAAACAATTTGGAAAGCGTCTGAAAGTACTGTGACTTCTGAATTGTCAATAAAGTATAATTATTTTGCTTGCTATTAAATGCCTTTTAAGTTTTTCATTTATAAGGTTAAATAAAATGGAAAATATCCTAGCTAAAAATGCACAAGTAAAGTGTTTTGTTTTTTTTAAGTTTTCAAATTTATTTATTATTATCGTACGTGTACACCCGATGTGTGGCTGCACATGCTACACGTGGCGCTCAGAGGACGACTTTGTGGAGTTGGCTCTCATCTTACACGGGTGGGATCAAACGCGGGTCCTCAGGCTTGCGTGACAAGCGTCTTTAATCATGTAGCCATCTTGCTGTCCCCACCTATTTTTTAGTTGCTTAAATTTCATTTAATTGTTATTACTGTGTGTGTGAGAGAGATGCCTGAATGTTTTCATATGACAAATGGTGTAAACAGTCTTTATGGCTATTAAATGCCTCAAAGGTCTAAGAGTAGATTTTAGATGATTTTAATTTAGATTAAATTTAGATTAGATTTAGATTTTTTTAATTTCAAAAACTCTTGGGCGTTAAATGCCGCCACCACTAAGGACTGATAGATGTTTGAGATGATGAACATGTCAGCTCCCTGACTTGAATAGTGCGCATTGTATTCCTGTATTAAAACCTCATGCTGTACCAAAGATATCTATGATTTTATTTGCCATTGAAAAAACATTGAAGCAGTTGGGTGCCAGTCATATCACGTGATTTATAAAAATAGGGCAGTGGTTTCTGAAAGCTTTATCCCACCTCTTACTAAAGGAAACGGAGACTCCAGGAATTCTGCTCCCGTTAACTTTCACAATGGCATCTTGGAGTGCAGGAGAAACTTCAAGAGAAAGAACTGAAAACAAACCGACAACAAAGTAAGAGTAAGGCACCCTGGGCAGGCATCGCATAATAGACTGAGGCAAGAGATTCAAATACAGGTCAGTGTGGACTACAGAAGAAGACCCTCTCTCAAAAACAAAACCAAGAAGCAAAAGTCCCTCTTGAGTAGAACATACATTTGACCCACAAGATAAGAAACAGGAGAACAGCCCTCCATCTCTTCATCATAATATGTAGGGGATGTCCCTGTAATGAGAAGCCATATCCAGTGATCCACTAATCTATTCCTAGTTTATGTTACAAGGAAGGTCCTGAAATCCTGGACTCTTCTCCATATGGGAAGCACCATGCATCCATTTCTATTTGTTTGTTTGTTTGTTTGTTTGTTTGTTTATTTATTTATTTATTTATTTTTCCCTCACCAGTGCCAATCATGGCTTCTGCAGTCACCATTGGAGGGGAAGAATAAACATGGACGAGAAGAGAGACACGTCATTTCCACCTTCTGTTACCTTTTTCAATTGTTGCTGCCTTTTAAGCTAGAGCTGTCCTAGTCAGTAATTACAGCTCCATCCCCACCAGCAGATTAGGCTGCCAGAGCCACAGCCTGGGGAAATTCTGCTCTCTCCAGCTCTACTCTTTCAAAGTTACAAAGGGAATTTATCTACACCTCTGACCCTCCAAAGAACTCTGGGTTCAAAGGTTGAGGTAAAATCCTGCTCCCCAGCTCGGCAGAATAGCAAGCAGCTCCCCTAGCTCACCTCCTCCAGTCTCTTAAATTCTAGTGCCCAGGAGGCATCCATTTTGGATGAATTCATGATTCGCCTTCTACGAGTCTGAGTTCATGGATTTTTCTCTGCTCTTGCTAAGACAATACTATTAGTATGTCAGAAGTTTCCTGAAACAAGAGTATTAAGAGTGTTTTCAATTTTTTAATTTTTTTTAAATTAAGAATTTAATGGAGTGGCTTCCATTTGGGATGTCAGTGTGGCTTCTGTGCTTGACATAAAAGTCCCCACTAACCGCCCCCCTGCGAATGTTCTAGTGCTTCTCCTCGCCCTCTTTATAAGCCCTGCTCTACCTGGCTCCTCCCTACAACTTCCCGTCAGTTAGTTGGGATGCAGCCTCCTGACTACAGGTGAATTTTATTTAATCAAACACATTTTTTTGCATCATTAAACAAATGTTCCAGAGCATAAACAGAAGTAACACACCTTAAAGTAATATTCTACAACAACCTTCATGTTACTGCCTGGACTAATCACGTGGTCTTTAGCTACTAGTCAAAAGAGGAGTTGGGAAAGAACCAGTAGGAAGAGGAGGTAGGATTGAGAACATATTTTGAGTTTCATATGAGACTCTAATAAAAAATTTGATGTTTTAAAAAACCAATTCTGTTGAGTATAATTTTGAAATATGAAATTTAAAACTAAAGCATAGTACAGTTAAGAAAATTTGAATTTAAGGATTCCTATTTGAGATATGCTGTGGACCCCTGAAAAAACTCAGGGCTGTCCACATGTGTTGAGTAAGTTTTCTGTACTGCCATTCTTTTGTCAGGGTTTCTGTCCTGCCCAGTTCTCACAGTAGTTAAGTCCCAAAGAAATCAAACAGAGGTCTACATTAACTATAAACTAATTGGTCCATTAGCTCAGACTTCTTATTAACTCTTATAACTTATATAGCCCATTATTCTTATCTGTGTTAGCTACATGGCTCAGTATCCTATTCAGCGAGGCAGTCACATCTTGCTTCTTCTGTGATTGGGCCACAACTGCAGAAAGAGCTTCCTTCTTCCCAGAATTCTCCTGTTCTCATTGACCCACCTCTACTTCCTGTCTGGTTGTTCCGCCTACACTTCCTGCCTGGCTACTGGCCAATCAGTGTTTGTGTAAAATATAATTGACGGAATACAGACCATTGTCCCACACCACACATGGTTCATTTTTGTCTCAATCATGAGCACCGGAGTGCCAGAGCAGCCAAGCAATTGCACACTAAGAGCATCCCTGCCCACACACCCTCTTCCTGAGGTGTGGAGACTTGGGCTGGACTAGAACCCGAGAGTGCTGATTTTATTAGCGCTGCCAACTGAGCGTCAACATGGGACCCTGAGGGGGCACCAGTGGAGAGATTGTTTGTTACAATCAGGTGGGGAGGAATGGGGCTCTTCAGTGTTTTAAAAGGTTAGATTTCTACGTCTGGTTGTCTGTTGCTGTGGTAAACCCCTGATCAAAAGCAGCTTGGAGAGGAAAGGCTTTATTTGGCTTATGTCATGTCACAGTCCCCCACTGAGGGGAGCCAGGGCAGGAACTCCCGCAGGAGCAGCGGCAGAACTCGTGGACGAGAGCTCCTGTTCTAATAACTTCTATTGCTGCGAAGACACCATGACCATAGGGAGCATTTATTTGGAGGCTTACAGTTTCAGAGGTTTAGTCCATCACCATCATGGTGGGGAGCATAGCACCAGGCAGACATGGTGCTGGAGCAGCAGCTGAGAGCTTACATTCTGATCCACAGGTCAGAGGCAGAGAGGGGCGAGGAGGCAGGGAGGGAGGGAGGGAGAGAATGAGAACTAATAGGGACTAATTAGACCTCAAAGCCCACCCCCCCGAGTGACACACCTCCTCCAAACAGCCACACCTCCTAATCCTTCCAAATCAGTTCCACCACTAGGGCCCCCTTAAATATGAGCCTATGGGGCTTTTTCATTCAAACCACCACCACTGCTTGCTGGGGTGTTCTCTGAGTCACTCTCTGTTAGTTTTCTTACACCAGCCATGCCTATCTGCCTAGGCAGGTGAGAATTCTACCATTGATTAGATTGAAGATGGATGACTTAATGTTGCAGAGGAACTTTGGGTGACTGTCCAGTCAGCCAGCTGTTTCTGTCATTTCTCACATTTTTTTGGAAGTCACTTGCTTGCACTTCCTGCTTACTCAGTTAATATTTCCTTCTTGGGTCTCTGAGGAGTTGAAGACTAGATGTAGTTTTCCTTGTTTACCAGACTCAGAAAAGGAACTGACTAAAGAAGTGTAAAGTAAAAGGTTGAGAGATATTAAAAGAGAATTTGATAATGCAAATTAGAATAGAAAGGGAATTAGGTACAACCTCTTGGACTCATCAAGATAGGATAGATAATGGAGTATTTTTTTTCTAAATTTGTCAAATGCAAATTGACTAGACATTGTTGATATACTCATTGCCTGAATATATTGTATATAGTTATTGTATTTATTGTATATAGTTTTTCTTATATTAGTTATAGCTTTTTTTTAGACAAAAGAGGAAATATAGTGGTATATCATTTGCTTTAATAAATAAAGCATGCCACCCATGTCTCATCTGTCTAGTACTCATAGTAGGCTGGGCCCTCCCATACCAACCACCAATCAAGACAATTCCTTTCAGACATGGCCACAGGCTAGGCTGACCAGGCCACTCTTCGCTTGGGGTTTCCCCTCCCCAAGTGACTCTACGTTTTAATTGATGATAAAAAACTGACCAGTACAGGTTGCCATCCAAACAATGGGCTCCTTGTTGGCACTTTTTATACATTGGTTACACATCCTTTCCTGTCCCCACTATTCTGTCTCCATGTTCTTTCTCTCCCCAGATTATTCCCTTTCTTATATCCAGGTTTTAGAATTCAAAATCAACAAAGAAACCTCGACTACAGAGAATATGGAATATATTCCACGGTATTTTGATTCTGAAATTTGCATCTACCTTTTCCTTTCCAGTCCCCAATTCTCAGAGTTATGCCAGCACCATTCCAGGAGTGGAGCTGCCGTCACGAATTTCGATTTCCCTCCCAGGTATCAGAAGGTGCCAATAAACGTCTGATGAATGAAGAACAGATGCAGGGACTCAACATTGCAGGACCCGAGGCTCCACCAGTTTTAAATTAAAAGATAAAATCAGTAATTAAACCTGCTGTTTGGAGTCTTCACATTATTTCCAGAGACCTTCTTAGTAGCATGTGCAATCATGGAATGGATGGACGTGGGTACTTGCTATAAATTTTGGATTTTTTTAGTAGAAAGCGTGGTTTGACCAATACTGAAGAGAATGCCTTCAGAGGAAATGGGTAATGTGAAAAGTGCCTGGTGTGGTTTGAGTATGGTTTAAATCTGTTCTCCCCAAAGGTTCATGTGTTGGGGGTTGCTCCTAGGTTTGGGGTGTGGAGGTGCTGTGGCCCCTTTAAGAGGTGGAC